CTTGAAGGGTTGTCCTGCATGCTTTATCTCATTTTGACATCTCTAAATATAAATATAGGTTGATTAATTTTATGTATGTAAACTCTTTGTATAAGTTATTTATTTTTTAATGAAAGATGTCAATTTAAAAACTATCTCTAATTTATACAATGTTTTTGGAGAAGAAGAGGGAGTTAACAATTTAATAGGGAAAAAAAAATATTCTCATTGCTAAATATTTTTATTGTAATGCATTAAAATTATGAACAAGAAATTTACTATTATTTTATTTTTCAACAATATTATTTTTAAACCGAAGCATTCCAAATATATCTAGAATGAGTATAATGACAATAAATTTTAAACCAAGCATTTTATAAAACTCTGTGATAGTTGTATTTCTTTTTAACTTCTTAGCCATTCCAGATCCTTTAAAACTTCACATAAATTTTCAAAATATTTATATGTTAGGATTAATCAAAACAAAATTTAACACATTGTCTCAAGACTCCTAAGTTTATAATTTATATTTAAAACCAATATTTAGTATATTTTAAAATTAAAAAAAGCTATATTTGTAACCTCTTTTCTCTTATAATCATTTTTATTATCGTTTGATCAAAATTAAATTAATGACTCTAAGATGATATTATTTTATAACCGTTGATTTTATTTTAATCCAATGATAAACAAAATGGTAGTAAAAGGCTGTAAATATAATCTATCTCTTTAAAAATAATTTTGGTTTATAAAACAATACTTATAATCAAAGAAATATTTAATTGAATAGTTTTTATGTGTGAAATAAAATTTTAATATGTTTAATAATTTTATTATATGTATTACAGTTATTTTTTATTCAAACTTTAATAATCATATAATTTTTTATTTTGTTTTTCTTGTTTGAGGTATTATTGAAGTGAATTTTTGAATTAGGTATAATACTTACACATAAGTTGCTTAAGTGGTGAATAAAAATAAGAAATAAAATAGGTCAGTTTAATTTAACATATTATGCAAATTTTTATGACAAGAAAAATTTATAAAATAATTTCCCTTTCTTATTTTATATTAAAGTTTTAATAATTTTTTTGTTTTAATCAAATAGATTTATCATTTTCCTAAGTTTCAAATAATTTTTTAATTTTAAATATATTCAGAATAGGTATAAATTATTTTAGATTAATATGTTTAGACTTTGATTTTTTTTCTCCTTACAATATTTTCTCACAATATTTAGGATAAGACTAATCATCTAAGATGGTTTCTCATACTGAATCACCAAAGGTCTAATTTGATTAAAAAATATTTACATTTGTTTTTGGTATGGCAAAATATGTACAATTTAACTTGAATCAATGTATAAATAAGTGATCAAATTGTGTTTATTTAACCTAAAACAATCCAATCTTAAATAATTCTAGTGTTGAATTTTAATTTTCTCAACCTAATCACCATATTTTTTTATATATATTTTAATGAAAAATAATAGTATTGTATTTTAAAAAAAAAACATTTTTAAGGTAAAACTAATTCAAAAGTATTAAAAAATTAATATGATGATCAAATTTGAACAACTTAATCAAGATTGGATTGGATTAGATTAGTTTGGTAAAAGAAAGAATTTTTTTATTAGAGGCAGTTTTAGTTTAAGTTATTTTTAATTAAGGGTATTTTTTATATTTCATCTATTATTTAGAGTTTTATATATTAAGGATTTTTTGAAGTTTTTGAATTTTACACTCAAAATTGGGTGAATTGAATTTTACAAAATTTTCTCAAAAGCCCCATTTTCGTTTCTAAATTATAATTTTTTGCAAACTTTGATATGTGAAAAGCTTACTAATATATCCATACAATCAATCACATAATTTATCACAATTATACAATCTATTCTAGCACACATGATATATGAAAGTGATGGAAAATAAATAGTTAAGAGTTAAGAAGAATGCAAACACAATTTATCCTTGTTCGGTCGCTACCATTTGTGTCGTACATATAGATTGCAAACTGCTCAAACTATTCTTCCACTATAAGTTAAGCTTCATGGGGTGCTTGACAGACCTTTAAACGCATCAGAGTGGTGGCTTATCATTTGAAAATCCCTCATCTGCTAAGGCCTATTGGATACACCCATTCACCCTTCATATGTGGTAGTATCCACATAATCTATCTAACATCACACGCATCTTGTGCTGCGGGTATTGATTCAATAGGAGGGTTTGGCTCCCGAAGACTCCACTTTGGAAGGTGGGGAGGATTTACGAAAATATCTTTGAGAGTCAAAAGCTATAGTTATTGAGTTTCAAGATGAACACTTGGCTGCTAAATCGAATGCCTTGGCCCAACTTATAAATACTCTAATGGTCTTCGATGAATGATGACACAACTAGTAAGGCAAAGGAAACATGGTCACCATTCAAAGGGCAACATCAAGAACTTATGAACAAGGTCAAGCAACAGAACTGGACATACGAGGGAATGAGGCTAATGCAGAAGGCAGTGCTGGGTTTAAATGTGAATGAATAGCAGGTTCAAGTACACTTGAAATATATAACACCCCCAAATTTCTAACAATTTTTATAAATATATTTATAACAATATAATTGTCAAAATTCACATTTAACTATTTTATTTGGATCTAATAAATGCTGCGGAAGATAATCTAAAACTAATTTGGGAAAATATTATCCCCGCACATGTAATAAGGACAAGTGCAAGGCTAATTTTATTACATTCATAAATATTACAAGAAAATCAGAGACTATGTCTAATACATAAAATTTAGGACTAGCTAGAAATATCTTAGTCGTTATCCTCATTGTCCACCGCTAGCCCACCCTTTGTAACTTGTTTCACTAAAAATCTGCTCCCCGAAGGATCATTACAGCACAAAGACACAAACATAATAATCAGAAAACGCTGGTAATCCCAATCAAAATACAATTAATGCAACTCAAATATTCACATAATAATTAAATCAATATCAATTCAAATATTTATCATATATATTCACATAATAATCAAATATCAATTTCATTATTCATTATATTTATCTTTATTAAGTTTATTTAGTGGGAAGAGAACTATGGTAGACCCCGGAGTCCTTGTTACCAGCCTACCCCGTGACCCAAGAGACAAGAGACCCTGTTGCCAGCCACATATAATCAAAATTGGCCAGTATTAACACATCAATCCTAGCGTGCACACCTCTTTCCAAAGTTGCTACTAGTACCTCGGGATTCCCTGTTGCCAAATATATATATATATATATATATATATATATATATATATATATATATCAAATGCATAAAGCTCGAATGTTGTGTTCATCACTTTTAGGAGGTATCTTGCCAAAAGTTATATTCCCACCATTTATTACAATCACACACAATTAGAAACATTCAATCTTGTCAAAATTATCATATTTGAAAATTTCTTCTTTAATATATCTTATATATCAGTTACTCAAGGGCATCATAATTTTTCAATCATAATTCTAATATTCAATATCTAGTAAGGCCCAAATCATATCATAATTCAAACATCTATTCGAATAAAGTCAAAATCCAATCATATCAATATTCATAATTCAATCATATCAATCATCATAGTTATTCAAGGATATCATAATTTAAAGAATCCAATTATTTATATATTTTTCCTGAGGGGCTATGCCCCAAAACAAATCCAATTATTTATATTTATTATCATTAACGGGTTAAAATATAATTATATTTAATTCAATTATTCATACCCAAATAATTACATAATTTATCGTATTAATTTTTAAAGTTTAAATTTTTTATTTAAATACCTTAAGGGTTATATATTTCAATTGAAATCATCCTAAATTTTTCTAACGATTAGGATTGCATCCAATAAAAATAATTATATAATTAATCTTGTGATTTCCTATAAATTAAGATTAAATCCAACAAAATTCCTAATAATGTTCATGTATAAAAAAAGATCATGAAAATAAAAGGACAAGTGATTGATAGATTACTTGAAATTATTTGGAACTTGATTTATCTAATTATGCAACACTTATTCATGAAAATTTAATGTTTAGTTATTTAATAAATAAGATATAAGCATATAAGTTAAGAAATGATTAAACATATTGAGAAGATTTAGAAATTAACCTAATGGTTCTTTACATCAAAATTATCTTAAGTTAAGGTCAATCTAAATTTATTAAATCATACTATTAATATATTTGGTGCCACTAAAATATATCACTAATTTAGAAAATTTTAAACTATCTTCAAATAAATCAAAACATTAGTCAGTTTTTCGCGAAACCTCAATTAACTTATAGTCACAATTTGTTATTCAACAATGTAAAATGAGAAGGTATATAAATAATTTGTAAGAAGATAAAAACAGATGTATAATATTATTTATTTATAAAAAAAATTAATGCTCCAAGGGTTAGAATTTACATGTAACAAATTCCAAATAAAATAACCTATAATTAAATAATTCAATTATTTTCTAGATGTTTAAATACAATCGAATAAAATTCTCAATAATATAATTATCCTATAATATTTTAAAAATCAATTTCGAATAAAACTGTTGTAGGATTTCCTAAACATCGGGATTACATCAAACAAGATTCATATAAAGCTAACATATGACTCTCTAGTGATTAGGATTACCTGGACTCCGTGTTTGATATCTTTCTAGGAAGAGGGAGCGATTAGAGAAGGGAAACGCAGGTCTCCAAGTTTGAAAATGTATCCCTTAGAAGGAGAGTTATTACTGGGGGAAATGCAATTGGTAGCCAAAATGAAATAATAAAAATTTGAAGAAGGTTGGGAATAATAAGAAGAACGAGGAGAAAAGAAACATGGTTTGTAGTCAAAGAAAAATAATAATAAAATAAAAATATGAAGTAAGAAGAAAGAGAAGAAAAGGAGAAGATGAAAAGAAAAATGAAGAAATTGTACTAAAAACGCTCTGCTAGGGTTTTCCTTTTCAAAAAACGTTCTGCTAGAGTTTTCCTTTTCATGGAGGAAAATATAGCTACTGAAGGCCAAACTTCAAAAGAAGAAGAAGATCTACTACGTAGGAGTAATAAGAGAAATAAAGATGGAGATAGGGTGTTTACTGAATCACAGTCTAGGGTTCCTAGACATGAATCTTGGATGGTTGACGACGGTAATAAAAAGATGACTTGGCGAGAGATGCTCATGCAACACAATGGTGAAACAGATGACTGGGAAGGAATGGATTGGAGTTTGGAAGAAAATGTTGATCAAAGTGCACCTGCGGAGGAAGAGGATGTGAATTATGGTGGGATTAAAATGTGGACAGAGGAAGATGGTAGAACTCATTTTGGTTGTACTAGAAAAGCAAGAACAAGAATGCTGAAGGTTTGGGAAAAAGCTCTCATTGTAAAACTACTTGGAAGGAATACAGGAGTGGCTTTCATGAAAAAGAAGATTGAAATACTATGGGCTAGAGCTGGAAAGATTAACGTTACAGATGTAGGTAATGGATTCTATGTGGTGCAATTTAGCAACAAAGATGATCTTCTTTTTGCTCTAAATGGTGGTCCTTGGATTATTTTTGGCCATTATTTATCACTCCGACGTTGGGAGCCAGCTTTTAGACCAAATGCTGCAAGTGTGATGAAGATTGCAGCTTGGGTGCGATTACCGGGTATCCCACTGGAGTATTATGATGAAGCCTTTTTCCGCCGTATTGGTAACTGGCTAGGTAAAATGTTGAAGATCGATAAGACAACTAATGAGCATGTAAGAGGACAGTTTGCTCGAATTTGCGTGCAACTGGATCTTGCTCAGCCTTTGAAGGGTTAATATGTGTTGGACGGAGCAACTAAACAGATAGAATATGAAGGTTTAGGCCTTATTTGTTTCCATTGTGGGCGCTATGGACATAGTAAAGATTGTTGTCCTGAGATACCAGTTGAAGGGAAAGGATAATCAGCAAAATCAAGACGGGAAAAAAGATGAGGCTGAGTTTCAGAAAAATGGATTAGGTCCTTGGATGGTGGTGCAACGTCAACGTCGATCAAGAATTCAAACTCCAATGGCGGACAACAGGAAGCCGGAACCAGTTCGAAGGGAATCAAGGCGTAATCAAAGGAGTAATCAAGGGAGTAATCAAGGGAATAATCAAGGGAATAATCAAGGGAGTAATCAAGGGAGTAATCAACCGCAATCAAATCAGCCGGTTATGATTGATAATCAATCAAATTCCCGTTACGCTGCTTTAATGGGCTCTAATGAAGATGATATTACTCATGATATCCCAGCGACTAATCCGGATGCTGTTATAAATGACGTCAATATGGTGGGCCCTCCTGTTAATATTGATATTAGTACATCTCAAGGGTCCAAACACAGAAACCCTAGAAGCCGTCCTAATGTTGAATTACAGGAACACCCCAACCGATTTACGTTAAGTGGGATTACGACAGGTCATGAAAAAGAGAATCAAATAAATGGGAAGATAGTTGACAGAGGTACCTCAAACAATAATACAACGAACTTGAGGAGGCAAGTTGCGATTCATAATAGTAAGGACATTGGAGGTAAAAGCGGTGGAGATTCCATGGTGGCTAGGAGTACTGTTGCTGATTATAACAAAGATTGTTATCAAATGGAGGTGGATAAGGATGGTCAAAATATCAACGGCTTAGATCATGGCTTGTCCCAACCAAAAGCGCCTGATCCAAGTAGAGATAAAGGAAAGCATATCCCAATAAACCATAAGCTCAATATTGAGGTGGAGATGATTTCAGAATCTGAAACTCAGTGCAATGACAATGGGATGGCAGTGGACCCACAATCCTGCCAAATTACCATTGATTAATGTCTTTAGTTACATGGAATTGCCGCGGGGCGGCTAAAAAGTGCTTCAAATCAACGTTTCAAATGATGGTTCGAAGGCATAAGATTGAGGTGGCAGCTATTCTTGAACCTCGAGTAAGTGGTTCAAAAGCAAAACAGATAATAAAAAAGCTGGGTTTTAATAATTCAATAGTGGAGGATGCTCATTGATTTACGGTTTGGTCACTATGGAATAATGATAGGTGTCAGGTTCAAGCATTAAAACAGACCCATCAATTTATTCATGTTCATGTTACATCGGCAGATCATCAAGCTTTTCTTTATACTGTTATCTATGCAAGTCCTAGAGAAGAAATTCGGAAGAGACTTTGGGATGATTTACTTCAGTTATCAGAAGATATCTCGGTTCCTTGGTTAATTGCAGGTGATTTTAATGAAATTGCCTTTTCAAGTGAGAAACGTGGTGGTGCTCCAGTTGATACTAGCAGATGTAATAAATTTGCTTCTCTTCTAACTGATATAAAGATGATTGATCTTGAAGGAATAGGTTCTAAATTTACATGGCGAGGACCAAGATTTCTTCATTTAGATAGAGTCTTTAAACGTTTAGATCGAGCTTGTAGCAATGTTGAATGGAGGTTGATGTTTCATGAAGGCCAGGTTCGAGTGCTTCCTCGTATTAACAGTGACCATAATCCTATCCTTATTACCTTAGAGCCAAGCAAAGTTGATGGGGTGGAACGCCCTTTCCGTTTTCATTCTTTTTGGTTGGATCATCAATTTTTTAACAATTTCATCAAGGAAAATTGGCGTCAGGATCAAAGAACAGTTGATAGTCTTCGTGATTTCACTCCTCTTATTAAGCAGTGGAATAAAGATGTGTTTGGTAATATCCATCATAAGAAGAACAGGTTGATTGGTAGGCTTGAAGGTATCCAGAGGGCAATTTCTGAGCAGAATAAAAGCCATTTGGAAAAGATTGAAGGCAAGATAAGGGGTGAACTTGAACAAGTTTTAGAACAGGAGGAACTTTTGTGGTTTGAAAAGTCTCGTGCTACTTGGATAGCTCAAGGAGATAGGAATACAAAGTACTATCATACGAAAACAATTGTTAGACGTAGAAGGAGCAAGATCTTGGAGTTGAAAGATGATGCTGGAAACTTGATTAGAGAAGATCACAATATTGCACGGGTAATAAATGCTTACTTCTCTAAACTATTTTCTGAAGAAAACCATGATCGTCCTTGGGTCCAGACTCTTTGGCCAAAGGTGGACGATGAGACTGCTGTTAACTTAGGTGCTCCAATTTCAAAAGATGAAGTCAGACGAGCTTTCTTTTCTATGAAAGGTTCGAAAGCTCCAGGGGAGGATGGCTATACCGCGGCATTCTACAAAAAGAACTGGGAATTTATTGGTGAACAGATTTGGAGAGATATCAAGTATTATGCAGAAAACCCTTCCAGCATTGAGGAAGTCAACGGTACTCTGATCACTTTGATCCCCAAAGTTCCTAAGCCAATGTATGTTTCTCAATTCAGGCCTATTTCTTTGTGTAATGTCATTTATAAGGGTATAAGCAAGATCATTGTGGATAGGGTTAAGCTTACAATGGAGAATTTAGTTTCTCCTTACCAAGCTAGCTTCGTGCCAAATCGTCAGCTTCAGGATAATATTATAGTAGCAAAGGAGCTGGTTCATTCTATGGGGAGAGTAAAAGGAAAGAAAGGTACAATGGCAATCAAACTGGACCTTGAAAAAGCTTATGATAAACTCAGTTGGAGTTTTATCTATAAAGTGCTTATTGAAGTTCAGTTTCCTGATTGGATGATTGGTGTTATAATGGCTTCTATAACTTCTAATCGTTCGAGGGTCTTGATAAATGGTGTGACTTCGGATTGCATAGTTCCTCAGAGAGGAATTCGTCAAGGGGATCCAATCTCTCCTTATATTTTTGTGTTGTGTGTTGAGAAGTTTTCCCACTTGATCGCTAAAAAAGTGACTATGGGTTCGTGGAAGCCTATTAGAGTCTGCAGAAGAGGGCCGAGTGTATCCCACCTTTTATTTGCAGATGATATCATTCTCTTTGCGGAAGCAGATATGGAGCAAGCTAAGGTGATTATGGATTGTATTAATCTCTTTTGTGAGATGTCGGGGCAAAGTGTTAGTGCAAATAAATCTTTGATTTATTTTTCCCCGAATACTGATACTCAAGTTGCTGCAAGGATTGTAAACAGAATGGGCTTTAAGCGCACTTCTAGTATTGGCAGATATTTAGGCTCTATTGTTAAACAAGGGAGATATATTAAAGCAGACTATGGAGCTATCAAGGATAGGATACGTTCAAAACTGGATGGTTGGAAAAGCCATTGCCTTTCTTTTGCTGGTCGAGTTACTTTGGTGAAATCGGTCATTGCTGCAATCCCTTCTTTCCATATGCAGAATGGTCTTTTACAAGTAACGTTTTGTGATGAAATTGAGCAGATACAAAGGGCTTTCATTTGGGGAGATCAGGATAGCAGAAGGCGGGCTCATTTAGTAGCTTGGGATCAAATGTATAAACCCAAAGATAGAGGTGGTTTGGGAATAATTAACCTTCGACTACAAAATGAAGCTTATATTCATAAACTGGCGTGGAAGGTGTTAACTAAGAAAGATGATTTATGGGTTAAGATTTTAGTAGCCAAGTATGGTTGAGGTCAAGACTTAAGGAGAGGTATAAAGGCAAAATCATATGACTCTAAACTTTGGCGTGATCTTACTAAATGTTGGAGTAATTTCCTTGCTGGTCTTAGATGGGAAATAGCAGATGGTTCTGAAGTAAAGCTTTGGACTGATAACTGGTTGGGATGGGAGGAAAATTTGCAGCAGTTGTCGAGCAATCAGGTGCCGTGGGAGGAGTCAGAAATCAATTGCAGATTACATGGTGGATGATGGTTTCCATCTTGAAGTTGTTCATCAATTTCAGGAGTCAGATTTGGCTGATGCAGTAACAAATCATCCCAGGCTTATTCCAAGGAATGGGGAGGATAGATTAGTTTGGATCAATAATCATCACTCAACTTCTTTGGTTAAGGTCGCTTACTGTAATCTAATGAACTTCCCAGCAGATGTTCACACTAGCTTATGGAAAAAAGTTTGGTCGTGGAATGGACCAGAACGAGTGAAAGTGTTTATGTGGATGACTTTGCTTGCTAAACTTTCAGTGCGCAGCAGAACCAGTAAATGGAGCGGAGGTTCAAATGTCTGTCCCAGTTGTCCAAATCATGAGGAAACTATTATTCATGTTCTTCGTGATTGTAGACATGCTAGGAAAATTTGGCAATCTTGGTTTACAGGTTCGATACACAATTCTTTATGAATTCGAATTTGCAGGATTGGTTGACTTTAAATATCGATAACATGTGGTCCTCCAATAAAGTGGAGGACTGGAGGGATATTTTCTTTACTACTTGTTGGTTTTTGTGGAAGTGGAGAAATTTGGAGATCCATGAAGATCATTTCTGTCATGATGAGCAATCGCAGGCTTCAATTTGGATGTTTGTCCAACAGATTCTGCAAGCCCGAATTTATCAGCGCCGTGGTGATTCCAACGATAGCGTTTGGACAGCCCCCAGGCAAGGGTGGGTTAAGTTGAATTGTGATGGAGCTTCTTCTAGTGGCATGAAAAAAGCTAGTTGTGGTGGTATATTAAGAGATCACAATGGATCCTTTTTGGGAAGCTTCTATTGTAATTTAGGTTCATGCAATCCTCTTGATGCAGAATTATGGGGATTACTGAAAGGTTTGGAACTGCTTTGGGGAACAGGATTAAAAAGAACAGAGCTAGAATGTGATTCTAGCCAAGCCATCCAGATGTTAAAGGAGCAGCATGAAGATCCTAGGGACTCTCAAGTCACTAGCAGATTGAGATTATGGTTAAAAGCAGATTGGACTATTCATCTTGTTCATACCAAAAGAGAAAACAACAAATGTGCTCATTGGTTAGCTAAAGCTGGGCAGACTAA